GGATAATATATATATATATACTTTACAATACACAATTAAAATTCTTTCACATGTTTAATATTTCTTTGGTTACAACTTCAGTTGTTTATTTGTGTAACTACAAATTAACTGGTAATTACTATATAGTTGGGAATGTATATATTAAAACAATGTCATGGGAGTTCCATCACTTGAACGTACACATGTAATTTTACTGGTGCAAGTAGATTCTTAAAAACTGTTCACCATGAAAAGGTTACTACAGAAGAAGTTATGTTAAACTGTGAAGTTGCTAATGGGGTCCATATAAATCAGATTTTTAAACAGCTTGCACACCAAATTACTCGTGAATATGTGATTTGATTGGTTACCTCAGAGTTGAATCTGTGATTTGATTGGTTACCTCGGAGTTGAATATGTGATTTGATTGGTTACCTCAGAGTTGAATCTGTGATTTGATTGGTTACCTCGGAGTTGAATATGTGATTTGATTGGTTACCTCAGAGTTGAATATGTGATTTGACTGGTTACCTCGGAGTTGAATCTGTGATTTGATTGGTTACCTCAGAGTACAACAAAAAATAATCAATTAATTTCTATATGTACTACTGGGATTTTCTTTGTATTTTACCTCAAAAATGAGTCATTTTTTTACACAGTTTTCTGACAACAAAAACATAAAATTACCCTGTGAAGCAGTATATAGATCCCACAGGTAATAAGTGGTAAATAAAGTAACTTGAGGGTTAATAACTTAAACTATTTCTGTATGTTATTTATTTGATTAGATATCTTTCTTTAACTCTTTTTCACTGCTATTGGCACATATATATATGGGATACAGTATTTGAGTTATGAAAAGTTATCGTAAGTGTATGTTCCGAGATTTAGATGTAAAAATTAAATCAATTCTATAATCCTTTAAAAATCATAAAGATTGCATATTATCTTGTAAATTTTTAAAATAATTCGTACAATATTTGAGGTAGTTATCTATAAATAATTGATGTTGATATGACAAGTAATAAGTGTGTGTTACCATACAACTAGCTGATGTACCCATTGAACACACACGGACGGTATGGGGGGCCAGAACCTGTTTTTGTGCCATCCATCTACTCTTTCTTTCTCTTGCTAAGTGGTTTTCATTCTTCTACTGTTTTCGAACTACTTTTAGTTTTCTTCAGAACTGATTTCCATGGCCAGGTGGTTAAGACACTCGACTCGCAATCTGAGGGTCGCGGGTTTGAATCCCTGTCACGCCAAACACGCTCGCCCTTTCAACCGTGGGGGCGTTATAATGTGATGGTCAATCCCACTATTCATATGTAAAAGAGTAGCCCAAGAGTTGGCGGTGGGTGATGATGACTAACTGCCTTCCCTCTAGTCTTACACTGCTAAATTAGGGACGGCTAGCGCAGATAGCCCTCGTATAGCTTTGCGCGAAATTCAAAACAAACAAACAGAACTGATTTCACATATGGTGTTAGAAGTGTTCAAAGGAAAAGCCAAGGTAGCTTGATGCTGTAAACATGCCATCTTTTAATTCATACGTTAACTATCTTAAATCCCTAATTTAATCTATAATAGTAATGAAAGATCTTGCTCCGTGTATGATCATTTATGAAAAAAATTAACATAATATCCCATTTTAACAGAGATTTGAACGTGAGACTTCCACACGAGTAATCGCTGAGTCACTTTAACATCTGGTATTAACAAATATTAATTTAAAATATTATAATATTCACGTTTTTCTGAACATTGAAAGAGCTTGTGCTCTAACAATGATCACTTATCAATAAAACACAAAATTATAAATCACAACTGTAGTAGTATTTGAAAACAAGACTTCTGCTTGATGTTTGGGTGTTCTAACCATCAAGGTAATTTGAGTGGTACCAACAGCAAGTGTATTTTATATATATAAACACCATGTTTTTCTGTATCTATAAATAACCGTTGTTTATTGATACATGTGACAGTGGAAAAATTAAGTTTTCCTGCTGCTAAAAACGGTTGGTGTAGTTTTCCTTGGAGTTTGTATTATAAAAAACTGGATACATTTGTTTATAAGAATCAGTTACAGTTTATATTATAAAGAACTGAATATATTTGTTTATAAGAATCAGTTACAGTTTGTATTATAAAGAACTGAATACATTTGTTTATAAGAATCAGTTACAGTTTGTATTATAAAAAACTGGATACATTTGTTTATAAGAATCAGTCACAGTTTGTATTATAAAGAACTGAATATATTTGTTTACAAGAATCAGTTACAGTTTGTATTATAAAGAACTGAATATATTTGTTTATAAGAATCAGTTACAGTTTCTTTGTGAAGTTCTCATTGCAAAAATATTTAATATTTCAAACAGACATTTCACTTTATTTGGGTAACCAAATGTGTCATTTCAGTCTGTATATCTGGTTGATATATCTTGTACAAAAGAAACCCACTTCTGGCCGATATATCTTATACCAAAGAAACCTATTATGTCTAGCACAGGAAGTGATGTATGGAATAATGCATAAGTGAAAAAAATTGAGCAGTAAAATCCCAATTTCCTCATGATACATATGGTCAAAGTTACAAAGATATACTAATTACTAAGGAAGATTCCATTTTATGTTTACTTTGTTGTTCATAAAAGACTAATTGTGTTGAACAAATTAAGGCAGACATTAGTTTAAAGTATATCCTGGCAATTGTCAGTTTATGTAACTGTTTATAAAGCTGTATTGAATAAATTACAGCAAACATACAGGAAGTTAGGTAAAACATTAAGGTGATATTGAATATGAAAATCAGTAAGTCACATAAAACCACAACTGACATACAATCGTTGTTGAATATTATGTATCAGAGCTATATTTTGTCATTGTTTGGCAATTTGTAGGTAGTGTGATGCCACAAAAACTGATTGTTTTGGGGAAAGGTATGAGTAGTCCTTTCTGATTCAAAAATATTCCTACACTCAGATCGTAAAGATGTGTTTAGGTAGGCAATTAAGAATTTTTCAAGATGGTGATATACCTTGTAATTAATGGAAAACAAAGGAATATGGATCAGTGTGGGGTACTAGGACCATCCAGAAAGAGATCTGCAACAAGTCATATTCAAGCCATGGCAAGCAAAGTGAGGCATGTTGTAAGAGGAGCAACACACACAAAAGGAGCAAACATCATCTTTGTGCTCCAAGCAACATTACACAACATAATCAAAAGGATCTCTAACTGGGAACTGGATGCAAGTCAGGTGAAAAAAAGTTGCTTCCACAAAATACTTGTTAAACCATTGCATACTCAAGCAGCTGGAGAATGAAATGAGTATTCAAACTATTCCTTACAAAGACATCCTGGTTAAATTGTCAGATGCAGCACCTATGGATACATGTGTGATCAGACTATTGAAACAGGAGCTGGGAAATCGTCATCCTCCTACACTAGATAGATTAAGGGAAGCATAATCTAGGGAGGAAGGGTGTGCATTGGACATAACAGCATTACAATGGGGTCTAGCATAATGGAAATTATACTGTAGGGCTATTGTCAAGATGCACAGTCGTCAGATAGAATATGATCAGATGTGGTGGAAAGGACTGTAATGACAAGACGACCATTCAGAATTGTTTTAATATGACATGCTTAACCTACGTATTTTATGGTACTGACATATGGCGAGTTTACTGTGTTGTTGTACAAAGTATTAGTTGTAGTTAAAACAGTTAGTTAAATATTATTGCATATACAGAACATTAATTCAGTGTAATTGTAAAAACCACAGCCTTAACCCACAAACATCTATCAGACAAGTGCTTTAACCCACACCCTTCTATCAGTGAGTGCCTTAACCCACAAACATCTATCAGACAAGTGCCTTAACACACACCCTTCTATCAGTAAGTGCCTTAACCCACAAACATCTATCAGACAAGTGTCTTAACCCACACCCTTCTATCAATAAGTGCTGTAACCCATAACCTTCTATCAGTAAGTGCCTACACCCACAAACATCTATCAGTAAGTGCCATAACCCACACCTTCTATCAATAAGTGCCATAACCCACAAACATCTATCAGACAAGTGCCATAACCCACAAACATCTATCAGTCAAGTGCCATAACCCACACCCTTCTATCAGTAAGTGCCGTAACCCACAAACATCTATCAGTAAGTGCCTTAACCCATAACCTTCTATCAGATAAGTGCCTTAACCATGTTTCTATCTGGAGTTCACAGAGAACTAAACAGTATCTCGTGGTTAATACAAATAACCTGCTTTGAGTGTGAATGGTTGCACTGACCATGTTACAACAGACACTTGTATAGAAACAGCTAATATCTGATGTAAAAATATTGCAAGTTTAGAAAACGAAAATCAGTTGTTCAACAGTCGCACATAAATATACTCCAAAATATATTAGTTTTTATTACTTACATAAAAAATACTACATGACATAAATAAAAGTAATTCTGAGATCAGCAGGTGGTTTAAGTTCATGAATTGTAAAATACAATGACATACAAAAGAATTTAAAAACTGATAAATAAATACAAATACATTTGTAATATAAATAAAACTCATTATTACTATCAGGCATATCTTTTTAGCACATCACATTGGAAATAGACCAGTTAAGTCAACCATCCAGAATATTATTAATACAGAGGAAAATAACATCTGCTATGTAATCCTTACAATTCTGATTTGTAACCCAAGGACTGAAAACAATGTTATATTACTGTTTGTAAGTAACTTCAATACCCAAGAGTTATTTCATTTTCACATTCCAGTGCACTAAATCTGTCTCACAATTACTGAGACAAACAGCAAGATTTTTCATTATACTCAAGGTCACTATTAGTTCTTTTGATGTCAGTATACACTATATATGAAGATAAAAATGTTGTTTTTCTTCACCAAAAATCCAAATGGTTCCAACAGATCTTTTCTTCTTCAGTTTGAGTATAGATAAGATGTGAACGACTTACGATATGATGGATGACAGCTTCTTATCGGTGGTGAAACAAAATTCAAAACGTGAACCTCTCAGGATACGGAATACCAATGACATGATGGATGACAGCTTCTTATAGGTGGTGAAACAAAATTCAAAACGTGAACCTCTCAGGAGATGGAATACCAATGACACGATAGATGACAGCTTCTTATAGGTGATGAAACAAAATTCAAAACGTGAACCTCTCAGGAGACAGAATACCAATGACACGATAGATGACAGCTTCTTATAGGTGGTGAAACAAAATTCAAAACGTGAACCTCTCAGGAGACGGAATACTAATATTACCAACAGTGTTTCTCTAAGACTCATTAAAGCTTGAAGGAAAAATCTGTTTTAGTGGGCATTAGGAACACACTTTCACAAGGACAAATTATGATAATACCAAAGATTATATATATTTATCTAACAGTAATGAAATATTTGTGCAACAATTAGAGAAGTACAATGATTTTAATAGTGAAAGATAGATTGCTTTAAAACACTTTCACAATACTGTAAATTAATTAATTCCAAATAAATGTTTTCTACAGATTCCTGTCAATGAACAGTTTAAACTGTAGTGAGCTTATTACTACAATATAGTGTATTTAATAACTGTTGAATTCTGTGATATGTGCATACCATTCAACACCCCATCTGCGAGCCAGAGAGACATTTTTGGGAAGTTGATTCCGTAACAAAGTTTTCTGGTATCTGTTTTGTAAATCCTAAGTATTTAAACTAGTGATATCTGGAATCAGAACTGTCAACTTACTTTGCACTAGTTTACAGGCTATGAATGAGTAAAACTCATCCAATCCCCAATAAAAAACACGATAGTGGTCACATTTGTTGCACAGTACAAGATCTGGTTTCTCAGCTCTATCAAGCAATTTTCTCTGTGGTTTTTGCAAGTTCTATAAGTACATAAGAAAATACAACGAAGCTTACTTGCTGCTGTAAAGTGGCTAAAGGTGGTACCTGCCCGAACACTTCTATTTTTTTTTTACAAAAGGACCACAGTTCTCCCAAATCACCCTAACCTTTGTGTCCAAACACTATTAAAGCCCTGTATGGAAGTACATTTGGTTTCATTCCTGCTCAAATATCAGAAACTGTGACATCCCTCTGTAGCCCACCCAATCTCCTATACTTGATCTCACTGACTTGCACATTGGGTGTTAACATCAAGAAATATATAAATGAGTACAAAGATAACACAGTATTATTAAAGAAAAATAAACTTGTCCTTTTATAGAAATTACAAATTCAAAACCTGTTCATGTAAGACTTATAAACAATTTAACTGAAAATTTGCAATACTGTACCCATGATTTTGTTAACTTTCTTTTTTGTACAAGAAGCCTGAATTCATAAGAAGGAAATTTTGTTCATCTCTAATTGTGTAGATTAGTTTCGGGCCTAGCATTCATTATTAAGGCAAGAATATGTTGTAGTAGATTAGTTTCAGTGCCTTAATAATGAATGCTAGGTTCAACATATTCTGTAGATTAGTTTTCAGTGCCTTAATAATGAATGCTAGATACAACATATTCTGTAGATTAGTTTTCAGTGCCTTAATAATAAATGCTAGGTACAACGTATTCTGTAGATTAGTTTCGGTGCCTTAATAATGAATGCTAGGTTCAACATATTCTGTAGATTAGTTTCAGTGCCTTAATAATGAATGCTAGGTTCAACATATTCTGTAGATTAGTTTTCAGTGCCTTAATAATGAATGCTTTTCTTCACCAAACAGTCATCACTCATAATTCAAAGTGGAGCTGAAAACAAAATACACGGGGTGTAAGTTTTAACAATGACATTAGTTTCTCTAATCCATAATAGATGCCATGTTTTTGTTCATAGACACCTCGATATTTCTTACATGTTTTGTAGTGTTAACGAATTTGTAAAAAAAAAATAACTTATTTCTTCCTTAAAGGAAACAAAGGTTTTCCTTACCTTTCATTTCCTTCTGATCGCTCCTGGACTTCTCTGTTAACAAATGTTTAAAACTTGAAATTACAGAAGAGCAGAACAATAATTTAACAAACTTATTATCAACTGTAACACGTTCACTCACTTTTGATGTGTATGTGTTAAACACATTCACCCTTATTAGCATGTTACTTTATTATATCGTTTAAACATGTTCACACACTTACTTTTTACTTTAATATGTCCTTTGATCATGTATACACACTTATAATGTGCATGTTTGTTTAATTTTGAACATATTAATATATTTATAATGTTACTTTAATAAATGTTTGAACAAATTCACACACTTTTAAAGTGAATGTTATTTTAATACATCCTTTGAATAAGTGCATCAAATTCAAGATGTACATGTTGCTTTTACCAAGTTATTTTAACTATTTTCCATCTATGATTTTCAACTTACCCTCTGAAAAGCCACACAACCATGACTGTCTTGTTGTTTCATGTAATTATATTCTTGCTCCATTTCCAAGTCTTCCAAATGTTGGGTTAGGGCTAGTTTTTGATGAATCACCCTCCGTAGAAGGGAGTTAAGGGTTTTTTTCTCCTCTTCTGCTGCATATAGCTGTCTCTGAAGTTCTTCCACCTGAGAGATATACTCTTCACTACGAGCAGTAAACGTGGCTTTTAGGGACGTAAACATTGCAGCACCTTCCTTGAGAGCTTTCAGTTCATTCCTCAATTTGAACATAGTTTCACCAGCAACTGCTTTTTCCTTTTCGTACTTGCTTTTTAGATCGGCTAGAGCAACCTCGGCAGTGTGTTCGTTGGCTTTTAAAAGGGTTCGAAGTGTTGCAATTTGTTCCCTCTTTGTTGAAACTTGTGACTGGAGTTCAGTGACCTGCACCTTCATCTCCGTAGTTGTTGCATCATCAGTTTCGGGTAAGTGGTATATTTTCTGGTGCCCCATCTCAACTGTTGTACGCACTGCTTGCTTCAGGTGACACACTTGATCGTGGATTGTCTTCAGAAGTTGACCACAAACAGCTGGGTTGCTTTTGGTGTCCAACTTCCCAAAACCACCTTCAAAAACCCTGGTGGATGCACTCGTTTTCAATGTTCCTCCCAGAATGTCCATCTTGTTATCTATTTCTACAGAGTCCTGTCCTTGCGAGAGCTGAGCCATATCTTGTTCTGTAATGATATCATAAAAGTTTTTTTTGTACAAATAATGATAATACGAGTTTTCCTTAACTACTTAAACTCGATCAGACACTCGCAGTGCCTGGCCGAAAATCTCGATTTACTCATCAGACAGTGACAACATCCAATAATGTTCGTTTCTTTGGCTGAAAACTCATCCATATCACATTATTATCCACCTTTAATAAACAGACCAGAAATTTTATAAGGTATAGTGATAATTATTAGGACATCACAAAGATAATTCCACGAGAAATTACCAAAAATGATGGGTTTAAAAGAGTTAAGGTATGCTATTTTAACATGCAAGATATTTATTAGTACATACAGTAGAGCAGTGGAGAACTGGTTTTTTTTAGAAATTAAACTAATTTCATATAGATTAATTTTCATTACAATCTTATTTATTTCCTCTTACTGCTATTGTTGTTCATTAAACCGAAATAGTTGAACTACAACTTACTAATATTACAGCCGCACTGCAGTGTAAATAAAATTGCCGTTTTTCTTTCGTTATCATTCTTCTGTCAATGTTCATTTTTCTACTATATCTTTGCAAAGGCCTTCACGATATTTTTATTCTTTTAAAAAAGTACCCTATTTTTGTTTCCTTAATTTGTCATAAATAATTATTACTTTTTCATTTGGAATTGTTTGTTTAAAAACTTACCAGGTGGGGTACAGAAAAGTACCGTATGTTTTTTGCCCCCTTAGTTTGTTCTAAAGTATCAGTGTACTTTCTGTAAGTTTTACATAAGAACATCCATAAATAGAGAATTACCAAGTTTCTCTCACTGTAGTTATTCGCAGGACAGGACAAATCACCAAAGACAACATGGTGTCCCCCCCCCAAAAAAATTATAAAACATTATAACTAGTGACAGTGATTGTTAAAAAGAGTTTTATTCTGAGGGCTTGACACTCCTTTGTTGATTTGGGAGTGGCCCTCAGTCACATGGATAGTGCATCGGCCTTAAAAGAGTGAATATTGTGTGTGTATATTACTATGTTACAGCTTTTGCTTTGAGACTGAGATGTAGATAAGATTTTCTTCAAGATACAGATCTTGGTATGATGCAAATTTGTCTGTTTAACTTTGAATTTTAATGTCTTGTTTAACCTTATTATATTTTATCACTTGTTTACATGTTTGGTATGTGGACTTCAACTACTAAGAAAGACTTAATAAAGATCTCTCCAATTTTTACAGAGCACACAGAAACACTTGCTATTGTTTCACTTTAAATGTGATTGTGTCCATTTGTTAATAAAGATCATTGATTTGTGCAATTTGGTATTTAGCCAGACTCAATTAGAGTTGGAAAACGTAAAGCCTTTACTCCATCAATTTGGTATTTAGCCAGACTCAATTAGAGTTGGAAAACGTAAAGCCTTTACTACATCAATTTGGTATTTAGCCAGACTCAATTAAGTGGGAACTCTAATTGAGTCTGGCTAAATACCAAATTGATGTAGTAAAGGCTTTACGTTTTACTTAATTGAGTCTGGCTAAATACCAAATTGATGTAGTAAAGGCTTTACGTTTTCCGGGAAAACGTAAAGCTTTTACTACATCAATTTGGTATTTAGCCAGACTCAATTAAGTGGGAAAACGTAAAGCCTTTACTACATCAATTTGGTATTTAGCCAGACTCAATTAAGTGGGAAAACGTAAAGCCTTTACTACATCAATTTG